TATGTATGTATGTATGTATGTATGTCTGTATGTATGTATGTATGTATGTATGTATGTATGTATGTATGTATGTATGTATGTATGCATGCATGCATGCATGCATGCATGCATGCATGGATGGATGCATGGATGCATGGATGGATGCATGCATGCATGGATGGATGCATGCATGCATGGATGTATGCATGCATGCATGGATGTATGCATGCATGCATGCGGATTGACTCCAGTGAGATGACATGTTTCAATTAGATGACGCAAAGCTCACCACTGGCCACCGCAAAGCTCACCAAAGACAGCTATAAAGCTCACCAAACTGTAATGCAAAGCTCACCATATTTTTTCAACACTTTAAAATTTTTTTAACAAAATAAAATCAAATGAAGGGGTGCTGACTAGATTTTGACCGACTGTCAACATTGACTGCCGCCATCGCGCTGCCACCGGTCGCCGCTGCCGGACTCTGCCCGCCGCCCGCCGCTGCTCCACCGTCGCCGCCAGTCATTGCCGTTGCCGGGCTCTAGCCGCCGCTTGCCACTGCTATTTACTGGTCGTTGACCGGTGTTGCTTTTTTATTTTTAATTAATTTTTTAATTTTCAAAATTAAAAAAAAGATGAGTTTTAGGGTTCAAAGTAGGGGGCTTTGCTTTATTTCCAGGTGTGTGTGTATCATGCATCTAATGTGTTCCTTGTAAAATTCATACAATTGCTGACTTCAAATGTTGCCCTTCTGTGTTTGTGGAATACTAATTCTGTTTATTGGCTGGTGATTATGGAAATTGTCTAGGGTTGACTGTTTTCAGGATGTTGATTTCCACAAAGGATGATGATTCCATTGATTGTTTCAAGGGTCAGATTTTTAACCTCAAATCTAAATATGAGAAGAAAAATGTTGAAGTAAATCTTCTTCCTGTAGCTACTGGAGTTGGAGTTGTAAGTAGAGCTTAAATTATACATGACATCTTTCTACAACACATTTATGTTCATAATTCTCTTTTTTGAATTGATTATGCTTCGGCATGGATTGGGGGGAAAGTTGGTTAGGGTTAGAGTGTTAGATTTTTATGATTGGTCTCTCTGATTTTGCTGCCTGTTTTTAAGTTCAGCATGCAATAGTTTTTGTTAGTGGTGTATTCCCTTGAATGCTAGACATTCTTGGCGGTCTTGAAATCCTGCCAAGTCCTCTGTTCTAAGTCAAACTTTGATTTTAAAGTTCTTTTTAAATTTTATTCAAGGTAGTCAAACTCGAGATTTTACGTAGGATCCATATACCAAGTAAATATTGTAAATCGTAAGATCCTACAAAAACATACACACAAGTCATTCTGAAATTTTAAAAATATAGAACACATATGTATTATTAATATAGTTATAAGTAGTGTTTCCTAGGCAAATCAATTCACGATTTTCTTTTCCCTTTAGGCAGCATCTGTGAAACCCATCAGATTATGTGGAGGATCATTCTTATATGTCGTGTTCAAGTCACTTCACACTAACACCCATCACAGCTGCAAGTTGGGAATTTTGTCACAATTGTGATCTTGTCCCATGAGTTTTTCAATCCTCCATAATACTTGATATTTTATGTGCAACCTTCAAGCTCTGCATGTAGCTGTTACATGTGTGTCCATTAGCGATTGACTCTTTCTTTGATGTGATTCCATCAAAGCTTGGTCGCCTCAACTTGTATGGTAGAGGATTATAGTCTGTGATCCACAGTATCACTAGATGACATTCTCTGTCCACTTGACTTCCAATTCTCCGCATTCTTGTTTGAGACATCCATCACTGATGCAAAAAATCATGTTTGCACGAAGAGTCATTCACATTGTGCGAGGCCACTCTTCACAATCATTACCCATCACTTTGACCTAGGTGATACATTGTCGGTTTCGACTCATATGCGCCACACCCAACTTTCTCTTCTTTCTCTTTTGCTTTGCCTAGAGTGGCACCAGAATTGATGTTCCCATTGGACACAGTTGTACGCGGTGGTGCAGCCAGCAAGATCTCATTGTTGGAGAAGGCTCATGCTGTTTTGTTGATTTGATGTCTTAACGCCTGTCATTTTGATCCCCCCTACACACCATCCCTGTTAGGGGTGAACCGGGGGTCTTATCAAGTTGATGTTTCTAGACTTGGAAATGGGAAGAACATGGAGATGTATAGGTTCGGAATGGGCTGGAAGAAATATGGAGTATGTGAAAGGAGTTCTTTTTGGATTTTTGATATTATGAAGAAGAGTGGCAAAACCAGGGGTGAAGGATGGTTTTATAAAGGATGGGATAAATATTAAATCAAGAATAAGAGATAGACACACTCTTATCTTAATTTGGAACCAAATTAATACTAAAAGATAAACTCACATCTAGATTAACTTGGGGTTAAACTCTAGTATTTAATCAAAGATATTACACACTCAATCAAATAACTAGAAACTAAAACTTACACTTAAGATATAGAATCAGTAATTTGGCTTAAAATAGCATCACACTATTTTAATTTTAAATATACTCAAAGAGTAAGAAGATTTTAATAATCAAAGAGTGGTCCTTACAATGTCCATAAGGCCGAGATATATAATGAGGGGGGGGGGACACACAATACAATAAATGCACACATAAGGAAGCTACTAAGCAATTTCCTGCCTTCAAATCTTAAGAATAATAGCCACTTGTTTATGTTCCTTTGATGGGGAAAATTCAGGATGGGAAATTGACATGTGGGGCTAGGTTTCAACCATTTGTGAGGACGAATCACAAGGAAATAAATGGCAATCCTTTGGGTGATGTGAGGGTGATATTTTCATCCAGATAATGGACTTGTGGGGCTAGGTTTGGCTTCATTCCCCTGATTTGTCTTTCCTTTTGTGGACTAAGAAAAGTCTTAGGGGACTCTCCCGGATATCTAACAATCACCCAATATGTTTATTACTTTCCTTTTTTCTTTGTGAGGTACTGCCTGCTTTTAAGGTAATGCAATAATGATGGTTTCATAGAGTAATATTGGTACTAGAGAAAATGAAATTAACTTTTTTCATATCGGAGTTGAGGTTGCATGTGATAGTATCTGAAATTGTTGTGCATAGGTTATGGTATCAGCGAAAAGGGACTCTAAATGCTCCAGTACTCATGCTCTTAATGCTTTTGATGAGGTTCACGAAAATTATTTGCAAACCATGCCATATGAGAACTGCTTAACAAGGCTACTTGTACCGGCATCGCATGCAAAAAAGATGATTATTTTCCACACAATCTTCCCGGATCCGTATAGACTCTATGTGTATCTAANTCTGAAATTGTTGTGCATAGGTTATGGTATCAGCGAAAAGGGACTCTAAATGCTCCAGTACTCATGCTCTTAATGCTTTTGATGAGGTTCACGAAAATTATTTGCAAACCATGCCATATGAGAACTGCTTAACAAGGCTACTTGTACCGGCATCGCATGCAAAAAAGATGATTATTTTCCACACAATCTTCCCGGATCCGTATAGACTCTATGTGTATCTAACAGGTGTGTAAAAAGCTGGTGTGGCATGTTCTCCATTCCTATGTTATTATTTACTCTGCCAGTTCTTATTTTAACTTTCAGTTATCTTAAACGATTGCATACCCTATGTAGATAACATGCCAGTTTTTTTCCCGGGTGATGTGATTGTTGAAGTGGAAGGGAAGCGTGGGGAGGTACGCGAGACAATTGAATCAATTGTTTCGTATCTGGGGGATTTTGAGGTTGATGGGAGAATGATGTCAGAGCTTAGAGCTGGGGTAAGTTCAGGTGCAAAAGTATATACGCATACTGGATTATATATATTCTCTGGCATATAGTCACTCGTGTTTTTGTATGCACATTGATATTGTACAGAAAGTCCTTCATTCACCTTTTTTTGAAGAAGTTGCATGTGGAGCATATTCAGGTGTGAAGCCTCGAAGAAAGTTTATGGTGAGTTCCCTTTCTTTTTTAGTTGATTATGTAGATAGCCAAATCACGGTTGCACTGTACAACTTTATTCCCAGGTCTGAGAGAGAGTGCCGCAGCATTTAGATTAACCTTAACTTTGCTTGTTTTGTAGATCAAGGAGTCCACACGAATCCCTTTGGCATATTTTGATTATTTCATTGGCAAAAAAGGGGAAGCTATTAAAAAGATTTGGAAATCAAGTCCGACGGCGTCAGTGTACTTTGACACATTTACCGCTAAAGAGGTATACATATGTATTGAGGGAGAAAGTGATTCGGATGTCGAAGATGCTAAGGATGCGTTGGAGGTATGTACGTACATTAGTGGAACACACATTATTTGAGTAAATAGAATGAGAAGAGAGGGTTTAATTTAGTTAGGTGTTGATATATATATATATATATATATTAGTTCTGGTGAGAATGCAATCTTATGAAAGAAATAAGAATGAATCTGATGTTTTAGATTGTAAGATGTAGAGATCAGGATTGCATCAAAATTAGGTGCACCAAAATGGTTTGAAAATGCGTCAATGTCGAAATGCACCAAAATCATTTGAAAATACACTATCTCAAAATTTGAGTGCAAGATGCATTCTTAGCCGCACGATGCATATTCAAAGGCTAGATTTTATTCTTATTTCTTTCACCAAGATGCATTTTCACCTTAACCAGCCTGAGAGAGAGAGAGAGAGAGATGGGGGAGGGCCAAATAGCGCCAATACCCCCGTGGTTTGCAAAATAGGTACCAAACCCCTTCTGTTTTCAAAACTTATTACTAAAGTCCTTGTGGTTTCATAATGCTGCACCCATGCCACCTTTGATCATTTTCTGGCATTTTCCGGTGAAGAAGGGGGGCATTGCTGCATATTTACTAAACTACGGGGGTATCGGTGTTGATATTTATTTCTTGCTTTTTTTTGTTTTTTTCCATTTTTTCCTTTATTTGTTTTTTATTAATAAAGGTTTTTTTAAATTATTTTTATAATGTTCATAATATTTAAAGTTATTTATTTTTTGAAAAAATTAACATATAGTGTATATGTACTTCTCAAATCAATAATTTTTGTTTTTTCTTAAAAAAGTTAGCTTTTTTTGAGAATTTTAAAAAAATGAGGAATAAAATAAGAAACAAAATAATACAAAAATAAAAATGAATATCTTTTTCAAACATCTCAATTCTAGGGACTTTTTTAGGCTTGTCCATTTTTTTGTATCGGACTTTTTTTGTGTATTTTTATTTATCATATAAATTGCCTCCCTACTTCCAAGTAAGGGCAAGGTTTGCGTACACACCCTCCTCAAACCATATTGTTGTGAGATTCAACTGGGTTGTTTTTATTTTTCATTTATTTTTCAATATTTTTATTTTTTATTCTAGGTTTTTTCTTTTTGAACTTTCCAAATGAGTGCGTAGTAAAAAGTGAAAATGTTTAATTTTAAATAGATGCAATGTATGTTAATCTTTTATTTTTATTTCAAACACAGAAAGTTTTAAAATTTTAAAATATTATAAAAAAAATTGAAAATAAATTAGAAGAAAACTAGGAAAAGATTAAAGAGATAGAAAATGTTTAAAAAAAGAAAAACACAAATAATAAATGAAAAATAGAAAAATGAGCACGAATGCCCCCCTATGGTTTAAAAATTATGCGCATATGTGTCCTCTTCACCAAAAAATGGCTGGAAAATGATCAGAGGGGGCACGGGTGCAGCATTTTCAAACCACAAGGGCTTTAGAAGTAAGTTTTGAAAATAGAGGAGATATTGGTGCCAAATTTCCAAATCACAGGGGGAGTATTTATTTAGTGAAATTTGCACTGAATATGATTAAAACTCAAGTCATTTTTGAATGTAAGACATTTAGTTGAATAATGACTAATAGACAATGATCAATGACTATATTAGGAAATAAAAAACATATGGTTTTTTATTGAGAAAGTTATATGTTTTAATCTTATTTAGGTAAATTACTCATTTATTTATATATTTGCAGGAGTTGATTCCCATGGACAGAAGGATAATAGATGGAAAGCCTGTTTTTGAGGGCATGCTTTGCATGGAGGTAGGGTTTGATATGGCGGAAGCGTATGATTGGTCTCCCCCGGAGGAGGAAGAGGAAGATGAATTTTAGTCCAGAGCCGGCCCGAAAAATGACAAAAATAAAATTGGCCCGGTCCAAAATTTACATTTTGGGCCTTATTTTATTTTTAAAGAATACTTTTGCTTTAAAAATATGAAGCTCTAAAATTTAATGGATCTTGTGCGGTTGGTGACTGTGCACACCCTCCGAGTTACCCATGAATTTTACCCCGTTCAAGCACTACTTAAAGGGCCCAACTTGTGAAAAGTCTGAAGTCAAAAAAGTGTGTGTGCTTATCATACCATTATGAAAATGGTTATGTAGCAATAAATTAAAGGTCTATGAATTTTTGGGTGTACGGAAGAGTTCATATTTAAGTTATTATTTGGTGGACCTAATCACTATCACTAGTATGGATTAAGCAGGCTACCAATTGCTGCTATCTGCAACCTTTTTTTTGTTTTCTTTCCCTTTAGTGATGAGTTGCATCTCTTGAGCTTCAGCTATGATTCCCTTCTTTGGAACTCCTATTTTGGAGATTTACTCATGTTCCGGAGATTTTTCTTTCGTTATACTCCATATGTCCCTAAATATTTGCAACGTTTGCTTTTTCAGTGTTGCGGGAATTTTTGTTTGTTTTTTCATTTTCATTGGTTATTTAATAAAATAAAATATTTTTGACATCTCTTATTTCGAAGAACTTTTTATGTAGTTTTTTTATATGTAAGTTTTATTTTTTATTTCTATACTAATATGTAAATAAAATGAATTGAAAAAACTTGATATTTTGCATCGGTAATACAAGTGTTGCAAATATTTAGGAACAAGAGTAATTTTTTACGTAGGCGTATTCTACTCTACGTCCAAAATAATTGTTTTACTTCACTATTTAGTTTAGTCATACTTTTTTCTTTATTGATTTTCGTTAAAAACAATGTAGTGATATCAACTCTTATTTATTTTAAATTATGTTGATCAATATATTTTTTTTATTAAAAAATGAATTGAGTCAGCCATCATAATCCTCCATTTGATAAATAATAGGGGACAGTCCGGATGAAGTAATAATTAAGATGCACACTGCACACTGCCCACATTGGAGTATTAATATAAAATTGACAAATTGTGGGAGTATTAACATGAAACTTATATTTTGAGTAAATTTCACAAATGGCACTCAGTAGTTATATGTTTTTCTAAACTAGTCTTTAAGATGAACAAATTACCGAACCCGGCCCGCACGAATACCCAAAGGCCGGCCTGGTCCACTCGACAAAAACTTATACTCTGTATATAATAAAAATAATAATTTTTTAAAAATAAAGTTGATATATATTAACAATGTTCGATATAATTCATAAAGTTTATATATTAACAATGTTCAATATAAATAAAGTTAGCTACTATTAACTGCTCAACGAGAATGTACAAGTTATAAGAGCTTGAAGATGATTAACAATATTCGATATACCTCATTCGAGGAAGCATGCGATACATTGGGATTATTAAGCGATGATAAAAAATGATTGAAGGTATGAAAGAGGGTGTTGACTTAGGATCTAGGATGATAGAATTTAGGATGTAGTATGGACAACTAGATTGAGTAATAAGACACTTCGGTTGAACCATGTTAAAAGATTGAATACAATCAATTAGTTAGTTCAATTCAAAAGCTTATATACCAATTATTTAAAAAATAAAATTGCATTTTTAAAAATTACATCAAAAGATCTACTTCCTCCGTCCCTAATTGTTCGCCACACTTCGAACAATGTGTAAAATATCATATCTTTTAAAATCATTTTATTTACAAATTGGTTATATAAATAAAAAGTATTCAAAAGTTCACCAAAAGTTCTACAAAACTAGATGCGATAAGAATATTTTATTTTATTTAATAGTCAACCAAAATGAGTAAACAAAAAAAATTATTGAGAGGCTGAAATAGTAATCGTGACATTCTTTTATGGATGAAGGGAGTATAAAACTAGAGATGACATGACTATATAATTTTATTAAATGGGCATCAAAAATAGACCAACAAATTAAATATAGTTTGACCATTTGAATATTAAATGAAACGATTTTTTTTAAGAATGGAGTAAAAATTATCTACAAAATATAGTACGGACCATTCCAGCTCATATAATTCAGAACAAAAATACTAGAGATACCATGCTTGGTGTACACTAAGGGTGTATACTGAGACAAAAATAGACACACTGGCATTCAATGTCTATACATTTACAGACATTAGGTGTCTGCTTCTTGGTGTATACTTAGAGCATTGGCAGTGGTGAGTGGGAAAAACGCCTCGCCCTGCCTTGAGAGGAAAGCTGCGATGCGCAACAGCTAGGAAGGAGAAACGCCGCGCGAGCCAAGGGACGAGTCACTCCCTTTGCGAGGCATTTGCGACCGTCTCTCTCTGCTCTCCACCCACGCTTATGCCTTGCCGTTGTAAGCCATGGAATTCCACGGTGAATTTTGATTGGTTGCTAGATGCCACATCATCCCGTGGCATTCCATTTTAGACTTGTCACTGCTTATGCCCTTAGTGTACACGAAACGAGTTACCCCTAGCACGATTTGAATTCAGAATCTTCTAGTGACTCCATGCGGCTAAAACATATACGAGTACATGACTCCAATAAAAACTTTAAAAAACTACTCGGTAATAGAATGTATTTTTAATTTTTTAAATGAAAATAAAAAATTCTATACCACAATAAAAAATTATCAACTACCAGATGAACATCTCGCCGAGCTTCTTTATTGGAGTCGGGGGCATATGCCCCCTACTAATTTTATGTAATAAGGTAAAAATTTAAATTTTTTGTATATATGCCCTCAATAAAAATTAATATGACCCCATCTAATTAGGTCAAATATAAATGTTTTGTTTAATTTTTAGTAAAGTTTATTTTGTTACATATAATGAATTATTTATGAAATAAATTTTATACTTACAATTAAAAGATGTTTGACATTCGATAAATGTTTGAAATAAAATTCATTTTTTATAATTTCATATATGAAGTAGCTTATTATAAAAAACCAAGCAAACTGCCTCGGATCCCAATCAATGATGCATCTAACTCAATTTGTTGACGTAGGTAGCATTGGCAATGTAATAGAAATATGTTTTTTACATTACGTTGACTTATTATTTCCATTATATATATATATATATATATATATATATATATATATATATATATATATATATATATAAGTTGGGTTAATTTCTTGGAGTGTTGACATATGGCATAATCAGCATGTACATTCATTAATGACATGTGCATGCCACATGTGCATTCATATTTTTTTATTAATGAGATGGATGAATTTTATTGGTTCATTTAATTATTTAAAAAATATCTTCCAACACATTTTATTCTATTACATTAAATAAATATTATATTTTAGTATTTAAAATTTTAATTTAATTATATTTTGTAAAAAATATCATTTTTTAAACAATTTTAGACATATATTTTGTCATTGTAAACTATACTATTATACACACACACATACATACAAATATACATATATTTTGCCTCATATACATTATCTAATGATATATCATTATTTAATTAGTCCATTTTTATTATAGTATTTTATTAATTAAACCATTTTCATTAGTACTTAATTTAATAATGGAAATTAGTTTTGTATAAAAATTTTGTTTTTAAATTAAACATACCAATATATATCCCACCCGTTTAAAACATATTTTATTTAAATAATTAAATTGTATCTATAAAATAATTTTTAAGTATATCAATGTTTTAAAAAAATCATGTTTAATATGATTTTAAAAACAATAAATCATTTATCCTTTATACTTTTAAAGAAAATACTTATAGAATTTTTATCGAATGCACATTTATATTTAAATTATATTATTTGAAAAAAGATATTACTTAGCGTTAAAAAATATTAATTTAACACATATTATGTGACTATTAGAAAATTAAAATATATATAATTATATTTATAGAATATTTAAAATTTAAAATGTATACGAGTCCCTGTAAAGCACATGGTTAACACTAGTTTTAATATACGGAGTACTCCGTGAAATTTAAGAGTTAATAATTTAGAATTTTGACATGTGGCACTAGAATGCTTTTCTTGAGACAGGTAATGCTCCACGTGTCCGCTTTTCGCTTCTTACTGGAAATCGCCCAGAAACCAATTTCCGTTCCGTCTTCTTCGCGTCGCCCTCTCCATCGCCGCGCATATCCTTCGCCAGTAATCGGTTGATTCTTCAACGAAGATATATAATCAGCATCAGTGAACTGCGATCAGAAGCTAGCGAGGTTTGTTTCCAAATTTCGAATTAGTTTTTTTTTTTCAAATTAGGTTTGTTTCCAATTTAATTTCTAATTCAGTTTGCTTCCAAATTTTCCAAATTAAGTTTGTTTCCAAATTTAGAATTTATTTTTTACTAAATTTGAATTTGTTTTCTTCCAAATTTTGGGTTTCGGACCACCCATCGTTTTCCATACTCTGAAAATTTAGGAATCGTCTCAACTCCTAAAAAAATTCAAATGGGCTCTCGATTTCCCCATTTTTTTTTCGCCAAAATCCTCAATTACGAATCTTGACTTGATTAGAATTGTATTGCGTGTAATTACATTGGGGAAATCGACAATTACTTTTTATAAGAGTGATTACATTGGGATAATTGTCCCAAAAGTTCCAAGACTGAGGTCTATGGAGTATTAATCGGTATGAATCTTACTAGGATGATATGAACACTGTCAATGTTGTGTTTTCCTCAAAGTGCTCTAGGTCTGTTTCATTGACTGAAATAGTTATCTCAAAAGTGTTTTTCTTGATTTATTATTGTGTTCCTCTAGAAATAGAAGCTGGGCGATTTGATTCTTATGCTGAAACAGAAGCTGGGACATTACAAAGTATGGAAAAAGGTGTAGTGTCACCCTAGAAGCCACCATTCCTTTTTCTTTTTTTATATGAAGTTAGTTCGTTCTCATTTTGATTAATGCAAGATTGCAAGTGGTGTTCATGTGACTAATGGTTTCAAACAGTGACCTGCAGTTCTCTTTTGAAGTATGTTTTCTTAGTTCTTTAAATTTTATTTTTGCACTGTTGGCATTTAATAAGTACTTTAAAAAACAAGTACTTATAGTTGATTTTTTGTGTAACAATTAGATCATCAATGTTGAGTAGAATCCCTATTGGTCTTGGCTTAATCATCAATGACAGATCACTTAGAAGTTTGTCAGGTAGGTTATATTGTTGCTTAGATTTGTGATAGTATATGATTAGTATGTCTTGATTGGTTGAGTCCTATTTAGTTGGATATCAGTATGTACTCT